GTTTTTTTAGTGAACACTCCTCAAACAGAGCTTTATCTCTTTGACAGTCTTAAGTATGCTTTTCTTGGCATTTTCGGATTGACTATTTTTATTTAGTTGCATGTCAGTCCTCTTTTCTGTAAGGATATATATGTATGCATTTTTTTTTTCCTTTTGTGGCTTGAAATTTCAGTTTTAAACCTCCTTTATGTGGATGTATTTTCCTTCCTGCTCTCACTAGCCTGTCTAAAGTTTTTACTTTTGTTTCCATTCAGATTCCAGGGCCTCCCCACTTTTAATGGTGGCTTAGGGCTCCTGTCCTCAGTGATATTTAGGTCCTGGCCTCCTCCCCACAGAGATGCAGTTTTACTCAAGCCTGAGCAGTAGCTGCAGCTATGTCCTGCCTTCCTCCTTGTCTTGTGCAATGGGCCTGCCTGGACTCCCATCCACGAGGGTGTGTTTGGGTCCCTGTTACTTTGCAGGCTTTGGCTGTAAGCAGCCCTTGCTTCATTTAGGGCTGTCAACATTGTAGATGATCATTTCAAATAAAGCTTTACCACTGCGTATTTCTGTTTCATTTTAGTTTTGATCATGGCTATCTGTTTTTAAATAAACTTTTTTGTTTTTACCAGAAATAATTGGGTGTGGGGGTGAGGGCTTCAGCCACGCTCCACAATGTTCACATCTGGCTCAGTGACAACCGAGCCACTGCTGGAAACCCTCAGGCTCCCAAGCTGGAGTTGGGGGAGTCCACAGGCCTCAGCCCCATCCCCCTACTTCCACCTCTCTTTCCCTACCCCCTCCCACCTGTCCAATGCTCTGCAACAACTTCTTTCAATATAAAAATTAAGAGTAATTATAAACAAATTTTAAAAAGTCTATAAGTAAAGCACAAAATATTGTGTCTCACCCTGGTAGATTTTAAATAAATTGCAGTTCTTATCATTATAAAAAAAAAAAGAAACAATTGCTCTGTGTTTGGGTTAATGGGCAGGGTGGATGAACTTAAACCACAAAGTCAAAGCACAATCCTGACAAGACCTCATGTGTTACTTTTGAAGGGTTACTGATTAGTTGGATGTTAGAGTCCAAATCACCATGCAGAATTGTATTTAAGAAATTCTTTCAGCCAAGAAATATAGATAAATGAATTATGTGTCAAATTTTACAGATTCATAAGGTAATTTCTTTTCTTTAATTTTATGGAAAATTGCTTCCTAGACTCATCTTTGAAAAGGGAAGTTGTATCAGTGCATACAGAAGCCATGAGGCATAGTTTTGTCCCGTGACTGCTATTATTGGAAAGCCATATTAAAAAATAATGTACAGCTCTGTTATCACATAATATTCAAATTGTTACTATAATTTTATATGTTGATTGACATACTCATTAATGCCACATTCTGAGACTTTAATACATAATTATCTGAAATATTTTGTATAATTTTGCTCCCTGTTTTTTTTTAAGCACACTGGAGATGAAATGTCTGGCAAGATAAACTATAACTGAAAGTTATTATTAATTTCAGAATATTAAATTTCCTATGATCTTGTCATCTGATTTCCAGCACCAGGCCATTTTACCAGTCTGATTTTTTCCAAAATATAGTGGGGGATCAGCTAACAAACCTCTGGGGAATAAAGGCTCAGTTCTAATACTTCCCTTTTTACAAAAGCTGCATTAATTCCCCGTGTTCCTGTATGACAAGGCTACTTTACATGTTGAAATGCCATCACGATTAATGGAAGTGTGTTCCCTGAATAAGTTCACGGAATCATAATCATGCATGCCTCTGCCTATGATATTAAAGGTCAGTTGTCTGCTCCTTCCACCAATAAGATATTCCCAGAAACAACAGTGCCCATGACTACTTACATGCTTTGCACTCACTAGGACTTCTTTGTGCTCAGTATTTATGTGTAAGTTTTATGCTGTATCGTTCTGTAGTTGGTAGCAGAGCTTGGTGAATGTTCCAGTGTCTAGTTCAGGAGTATGTTTTACCTCTCTAACAAGACCTCGTGTTTCTTAGTACTTAGGAGTAAGTCTTTTGTCTCCTTTCTAATTCACGTATAGCAGCTGGTACAGCCTCTGCGGGTAGGAGAGACTGAAATATCCTTTCATATCCAGAAACATGGAAGGAAAATGAAGAACGCTCTCCTCAAATAACTGGTAAGTTATAGTTGGATGAGGTTTTAACTATTTGGAGGGAGTAACACCACTTATCAATAATACTGCAATAATATAGCAATAATGCTTATGTCTACTATAAAGTTCATAGTGTCACATAAAGAAAAATAGGATTTATTACAAAATTCTTGGACCTTATTTGTATTTTATTCTTGACTATGCATCTTATAAATTCCACTGAGGTAAATGAAGAAAATTCTGATTGACTTTTAAAGTGACACAATTATTTAATGGTGATGTTGAATCTAATTACAGAGAATCCTACAGGATCATAACCTATAATTAGTATAATTAATATACTACTATGTATTAGTATAATTAACATACTACTATAAATCCAGTTTTTTTCTAAGCGTCTCAGATAATTTGAATGCCCTGAAATAAGTGTACTTATGTTACTTGTACTGATGGAAAGAAATTTAAATTGTTTTGGGTGAAGATTTTCATCTCTAAAACCTTTAGTTTATTATGTTCTAAATTGCTGAAGCCACCAAAGTCAGGTCTGAAGCACAGGAAAATAAAGTTCTTTTGGAATTTAATATCAGAGATAAGTTACCACCTGGAAGCCAAGCTCTTCATGAAGAGCACGTCATGAAGGCGTGCGCATGCATCTTCTCTAAGAAGTCCCCTCCAAAATGTATTAAATTTCTGTGCTTAACCATTATTTATTTTTTATAAAGTTAAATTATTTAAATCTTTTATCATTTACTTACCACTCTGGAGTGTATTTCTTTGGCATACAGTGGGAATAAAAATCTGATTCCCCTTGCAGGCGAATTCCATCTTTTGTTACATGCAAGTGACCCATTCCTGTCTGTCAATAAAAGAAACAATACAGAATTTTTTATTGCTCTCTTTCATTTCTCTTAGTATTGACTTAAATTGTGCAAGTATTTCCATACATTTCCTACCAACTTTTCTGTATTTCTCCTAAAGACAATGCACAAGAGTTCCAGTTTCTCTATGTCCTTTCCAGCACTTGTTATTTTCTGGTTTTTTGATAGTAGCCATCCTAATGGAAGATGCATTCATTTTTACCTGCAGTTTAGATTCGCTCAATACCCATATAAACAATTGTATGATCTCCTCCCCCTTTTGAATGTCTTGAAAGCACCTA